CGGCAACTACACCAGCCAATTCTCGCAGGAGTCTGGGATGCATCTCATCAGGTCCCATAGACTTATGTATGTTCAGGTTCCTCGGGTGGTCACAAACCTGATCTTCCCTTACAGTGGGAGGGGCTTTACTCCCCTCGCCCCCATTTTGTGGTCCATTGACTTGGAAGGGGTGAAGAGAGAGGTTACCAGTGAAGACTGAGGCAAAAAAGTTGTTGAATAACTCAGCCTTCTCCTTATCTGTTGAAAGTCTATAACCCAAAGAACCTATAACATAGTTAGAAAATACTAAAAAGGGAAATAGGACAAAACAGGGTTAAGATATTGTGTCCAGAATCACATAAACGATTCAGCAAAAAGGCTAGGAACAATATCAGAGGGTACTAAGATCCAGGCAAGCACTTCATGTATATGACTGCACTACAATAAGTTTAAATGAACATTTAAACCAAGATTCTGTGTGCAATGGTGTGAAAAAAATTCTAGCCAGAGAGGTTTATTTGAAGACGATGTATTCCTGTTAATTAGATTTTAAAGTACTGATAGCCTCGTGCAAGTATGCAGAGCATATTCTTGGCTTGCCTGCAACCACCTAACTTTTTATAAACAGTAGACTCCCTCAGCTGCATATGACTGTCTCAGGCTTTAGACTAAATAGACTTTAATTGTGATTAGGAAAATATTCAGATTTCATTCTGATAACCTTATGCTGTTGGCTGCTGAGATTTAAGCATTTGGAGCCATTGCAAATGACATGTGTCAATTTAAGCAATGCAGACTGCATGCTAACAGACATTTGGCTAAAGAATGAACCAAGCCTCAACCTATATTATCTTTTCAAATAAAAAAACACATGGAGACTTGTGGGCCATTCCACTGATGAAAGGAATCGAGGAATTTCTGTTCTGAATAAAAATAAACCAATTTTCTTTGCTTATAGCATTAGGCAGGTCTGGTCTATGTAAGTGTAGGGTTGGGCTCTTTTATTTGTATTTCTTAAGCAAGAAACACAGATACAATTTTGTTACCAGAGTAATTTTTCTACAATGTAGTGACTTTTATTCCCAAATAGAGTGTGCAGATAGGGAGTTATTCTGGAATAATTTATTTTTCAACTTCTATTCTGGTCAGTTTGTCAGTACAGACAAGTTCTTACAGTGCCACCACGGGAAGCGGACCTGGGCTGATAGGAGTCACACTGAAAACTTACTACTGCCTCTGAAAATTATAGCCTGGGAATTGACATTTATAAAAACTGCAACCAGCATTCATGTTTCCATCATGTTAAGGATGCTACATTAAACCATACTGCTTTGACTATCCAAACCCCCAGCTGCTCTGACCATAGATGCTATTCTTCCTTCCTAATCAATTGCATAATGCTGCTGTGAGTAGCTGATGTGTAGATGCCACCCCAGCAGCATCTACATTTTAGCAGTGAATGAAGTGACTACTCTTGGGTATTTTTATATATCCATAAAAAAATTACATATAAATATATGTTTTAAAATATAAATAAATACACATATATATAATTTTTTTTATATATATATATCAAATACAACTTTCTTCCTTATCCCTCAGGGATACTGTAGATGCTTAATTAGTTTGCAACCTTGATTCTCTGCTCCAAAAGCAAAGGGCAGAGTTGACAGTGGCTGGGCTTGCAGAGGGCCTCTGCCGCTGGGACATCGGCAGCGGCAGCAGTCCCATTCCTGGTGAGGGCCGGTGGCTGTCATGCCCACCAGTGAACTAAACAAAAAACTCAGGGTACCCGGATTGGCTTCACTGCACCTCCTCTTCGGGTCCCTGCTTTGGTCTCTCCCCCCATGATCTTGATGGTGCCCGTCAGATCTGCAAGCAGCTTAATGTGGTACATGTGCCTCTCCTGGTACTGTGGGACGTATACCAGTATGGGCTAACAGACTGGGATGTACTGCAGCCTAGTCAAGCAAGACTGATGTGAACTGGCAAAGGGGAACTGACTCCATGGGAGACAGGCAGATTTAAAGCAGCTGAGGTTCTGGTGAGAGATGTTTTTAAGTGACTGACGTTTACAAGTTTTTTAATGATCTTTTCAGAATCTGCAAACCTCAAATATGCCGCTACACATGTTTTTGTTAAATATTAGGGGCCTTGGCTTAATTAGGTGCAACTCTATGGAGTTTAGTGGAACTACACCCAGTTCATCCAGCCCTCAAATTTAACTTTTGGAGTCCAAAAGATCATCTTGAACACATTACTTATATTACTAACTGCTCCATTCTATGCCTCTTCTATGGTGGCATGCAAGTGTCTCGGCTGACCTCCACTCTGCTGACCTCCACTCTCAAGCCCTGAACAGTTTTGCCTGTTGCAGTATCAGAGTGAACAGAGAAAAGTGTATTATTAAAATGAAAAATCTGAAGGCTTAAAAGCAGGGTTTTAGCGTAATTAAGCTATTTTTTGAAATTGCAATACTTACTCCTAATTTTCTTTTGCCATTTCATCTCGTTGTAGAGATCCTCTGTCTGTTGGAAAAAGTCATTGACTTTGCTCCCTTGTTCATCTCTCTCTGTTGTATTGAATACCCGACTTTTGGATTCCCGAGTGAGGAATTCACAAATATTGGGGACAGGGAAGACAATTTGCTCCATTGTTCTATCATGGCGAACAATCTAAAAATAAAATGCACATTTTTTTCAGGATCAGTGATTCTCCAACCATTTTGTGCTATCTTTTCTTGTTCACAGGTCCCCTTTTATTTATAAACTAAAGCATAAATTATTTTAACATTACAATGAAGTTGAACCAAGCAATCCTAAAACAAAGTAAAACTGCTTTTCTATCTTCAAAAGACTGCCTGAAAATAAGGTGGCAAGTATATGTCTCAAGCAAAACCTAGGCCCAAACTACCCCCAAATATAAAAAATGTTCTAATTCAGAATGCTTCAACTTTGCAATAACTTGAAACAAATCTCTCCCAGTAAATAGTGCAGAAGTTCAGGGGCTTTCCGCTCAGATTCCAAAATTTGTTTCTCACCTTGAGTCTATTTCTATGATGAGATAAGTTATGAAGGTGAACATGCAAAAACAGCACCTTGTTACTCAGACAGCACCCGTATCTTGTCAGTCTTTATCTGCTTACTTGGCAAAACCCCAAGGTTTTGCATTGTTTGTATTTCAGGGCCTACTGAATTATCATCAAGTGAGCTAGATTTTATTCCATCTCACTACACTGTCATCAAAATTGCTTCCCCATTCTGATCATGGACTCTGCATTACTAATAATAGAGAAATGGGTAGCAAACTCATCTGGACTCTTAGACCCAGCCACCAGTGAAAAAGAACCCACTATTTTACTTTCAAATCAAACAAATGAGAGTCCCTGATATAGGGGAGCTATATCTGAAATGCTAAAGAAGTCTAGTACTGCTTTCAGCAAAATACCAGCAAACATCCATCTGATGTAGCAGCAATGCTGGGTTGAGTTTCATTTCTCCGGTCACAGTCCTGCATTCAAGAACCCTCCTTTCTCTCTGTTAATTCATATTTACTATGGGAACATACTAAAAAACCCACCTGTCTTAAGCCATTTTTAAGAGTAACATGTTCAAGCACATTTCCATTGGAGATGAAGGATAATTATGCACGTGTCTGCCCATGGGCATGTGCACTGTGTGGAATTTGCACAGGCTGTTTTGAAGTGTCCTAAGCAAATAGTTGTGTCTCAGGCTAGCAGCTGTGCAATGGGACTATGTGACCAGCAGCTAACCTGGCAGGGCGAGTGAAGGAAGCTGACAGCACATCTTCGATTCCATCAGGGACTCGAATGAAGAGGTAGGTTGCATGTGCTGCTCTGCAGAATGACATTTAAGAAGCCTCCCAGAGACTAGAGGCCTCCACATCTGCTTGAGGAACAGGCTTTGCAGCCCTGAGGTTTTAGGTGATTTCAGGAACTACACCAGGAAGAAGCTCTTGGCCACATAAAAGCAGACCACAGTGCTTGTTTAAAGCCTATATTTACAACCTACCCAGATAACTCAGATGATAATTGCTAAGAGATACCTCAGGAGCACCCGAAGTATTAAAATATGCTAAGCAGTGCACTGAGATGCCCTCCGGACAACCACAGCCATGGAGCTTCCATCTATCCTTTGGTGGGATAACGTGACCAGTATCGGGCAAAAAGGATGGTGGGAAAGAGAGAAGCACCCAGCCACGACCTGTCTTGATGGCAGCCAGGACAATACGGACCCGAGGCACTTGTGTTAAGACTGCTCCCTACGCATGCAAGCTCAGGTCCAATGTTGATGGAGCCTGGGAGCCCACCGAAGGTAAAATTATTGGCTCAGATTCAGGCTGGGCCTGTGTGCAACCATACTGTGCAGTTTCCATACTCGGTCCATTCTGGACTTGATATAGCATTTCCAAGAGAGCGCCAGGTGCCTCTTCTTTCTGCAGTCTCTCACAGCAGCTGCCTTTGTACCACAGAAATTCTCCTTACAAAGTCACTAAGGACTAGAGCTACTACAGTGCCTAACTCCTACCTTGATGCCTATAATCCCATGAAATCTGTAAGAGCACAGGAACTGATATAAGAGTTAAGAACCTAAATACCTCTGTGGATCTTGATCTAAATCCAATCCATGGCAGTGGAAAAGTTTAAAATAGAGAACAGAACTGATGAACCAGGCCAAGCCTTGGTCTTTTAAACAAAAACCTTACTGAATGCCTACACCACTTCAAAACCTCTTTGTACTGCAGCCAGGCTTTTAATTTGATCAGTTAGCATCACTGGCTTTGAAACTCATGATTATTTATTTGAGTGATGTACCATACAAGATTATTCTTGACTTCATGACACAGCTACTATCCACAGTCATTATTGTCCTAACAAAATGTGTTTGGTAATGCCCAGGAAAGCTACTGTAAAATGATTATTTGGAGCCACTTTTAACATAGGTGCATTCTTTTTTCTCCCATAGCCGAAAGCATATTTTTCAACCTTCTCCTTCTCATAAATAATCTGCACCCTTTGAACAAGCTTTGCTCTTCAGAAGCTTAAGAGGCGATATACCGTGCACAAGACGCAAACTTGTCCCATATTCAATCTTCTAGTGAGTAATTCTTTACCTCTATCTGTGCCGTATGATTGGCATAATACCTCAAGGCTTCATCTCCTTCATCTGGATCTGACCCTGGCTTCAGCATCTGTTGCAATGTTTTATTGTGACGAGCCAACTAGAAAAAGAAAAAAAATCTGATTTATGTCCTGCTGCTATGTTTTCAGCTTTATCATCTCCATTTAAGTAACAGAAATCCTTCCTCCCCCTACCCCCATATATTTACATGCTCAACCCAGTGGGGCTCTTTCCACAGATAACAACAAAAATGTAATTACTTGAGAACAATAGAAATAATTTAGTCTTAAAAAGTCAGCAGCAAGTCTTCAGCTGAGATTTATGAAAGGCAGCTTAGCCTGCAGCCTAGATGGTTTTTGGAGGGCTTTTGAAAAATGCCAAAAAATTAGACTGAATCTTTTCACTTAAGTTTAGACATAAAATTTGCATACCTCTGACTAGGTAATTACATTTACAATTAAATTTTCTCTGAGATTTCAAATGGCTGAACTGTTCTTCACCATGTTGTAGGTTGGTATTTCAGGGCTGCCAAGATAATGTCCATAACTATTTCAGAGGCAGCTGGACTGCAGTGGCGGGCAAATACATTCTTAATCGTACAGTTAATATACATAGCACATATACGTACACACACACAAACACACAAATATGTATCTCCTACAAACTTCTACAAATTATATCCTTTACATGATTCATAAAATACATCTGTTCTTGTTGAATAGGAAGTATTTTAAATGCTCAATAGCTGCACAAAGTTTAATACTGAGAATGTCAGCAAATGCATTCATGAGGTCCCTTAGGTCAGTGAGAAACACAGATCTAATTACAAGACATGAGGAAACACTAATAAAAATGCAATTTTCCCTGTAACAGTGAGCGGTTTTCATCCAGAAACTCTGAGGTGTTTCACCTACTTTAAGGTGGGGGAAACTGAGGCTGGAAAGGAAAGGCTGTCTTGCAGACGTGCCCCAGGTGTTAAGCACTACACCGACATTACCACAACGGAGCGGACACAGTAATTAGAAACGAGACAGGCACAGCACTCGAAATGACCACAGGAACTAGGCTTCGAAGTGATGATCACCACAGGTAGATTAGGATTGTACGACATGAAATAACACAGTGCGGTGAGGAATTATAAAATAATTGCATATCTACAAAAAGAGTGTCAGGGATCAAGTCTAAAAGTAACAACGGATCTAAACAGATATTGTAATAATCTAACCAGAAAGCAGTCTCACTCATTTATAAGCTATTTGCATGTCTCACCATCCCCCTTTTACCTAAGAATAGGTGGGTAGGGGTGGGTACATATACAATTTACCCTATTTATTGAAGTTCCCTAGAATCTACCGATCAAAACAAATTTTCTTCTGGGTCTTGATACAAACTTATTAATTAAAGATGACTAATAAATGAAATATCCCAAAGCAAGAGAATACCAGAAAGGAATATCCAGGAAGAACAAATGTAATTCCTACAACTTCCTCATGGACAGAAGTCTGCTTGGCCCTGACAGTAGAGCCCTGAGCCAATGTGGCCAAACACCAGCCTTTAATAAAAGGGTCACAAGCAGATATTCAGGGAGACGTGCAAAAAAATCACACAGGGGTCAACTGCAGAGCAATAGTCTTCCCATCACTAACAGATTTCTGCCTTGAACAGTTACTTTTTTACTCTCTAGCAAATGTATGGATAGTCTCATTACACGTCTTAATATCTCATGCAACTTCCACTTATTTTTAAGACTAAAAAGGCTCTTTAAGACTACCTGACTAGTTCTTCTCCTTCACACAAGCCGTATTACCTGATCCAGCCAGCAGTCTTTGCAGCATGCCCACAACATCTGCTTAGCAGGACAACCTGAATTCATTTTCTAGAAGTCTTTTGCATGTCCCTCAAGACTTGCTCTAGCGTCATGGAGAAACAAGATGAGCTTGTGGAAACAAGGTAGTTACTGTTTAAAAATTCGCTTTAAACACTGCTACTATTTTTGCCTTTCAGCTTTATTGAACGTCCCTCTGCTTCTGTACTTAAGAAAGGGCAAGCAGGAGCGCCCAATTCACCTTCTCTGTATCATTCATCATTCTGTACACTACTGTCACGTCCTCTCTTATTTGTCTCTTCTTTAAATTAAAACAATCCCTATCTTTCCCATCCCTCCTCAAACAGAAGACTCTCTGTGACTCAATTATTCCCTTGTCCATCTCCAAATGCCCTTTACTTTCGCTATATCTCTTCTTTAAGATATGAAGAAAAGAACTGACTGGACAGAATGCAATCACACCCTGCTTGGAGTGATGAATTAGCATAACCAGAAGCAAATAGATTCCTCTTCTTTTATCTTCTGTAATAGAGAGAAACTTTGCCTGTATCTTGACCCTTTTTTCTCCAGTGTCAACCATTAAGATTTTGAGTTTTCTAATAAATGACAAGTCAAGGATGTATGGGTAGTTCTCATAATAAAATTATGCCAGTTTGGAGAAAGGGACAAGTATAGACTCAGAAATTTCCATTAGTACCACAGAAATCTTTCTATAAACATACTTGAATTTGTGTATGGAATTGGGCGAAATGCCATTTGTAAACCATATGAAATCTCAAGGTATTGCTTCCTGATACGTTTTTAACTGCCTGCAACTTTTACTGTAAAAGTATCTCTTGATAAATATCAGTATCAGAAGTTCCCTTACCACATGGACTAGAAGGGAAAACCATCTTGGTCCTCTCATGCTGTAATGGGACCGACTAGCAGGCTGCTGGTGATTTGAGACAGCGCTGATGCAGTGTGTATTTCACTATCAGGTTTCATCTGAAGAGCAGCCATGTACTTTAAAGCAGTGTGTATTCAGTGATCTCCTTTATACTTTATTAGACTGTGCTTTCAGGCAGCGACTGTCTTGTGCTGATGTGTGAACAGAGCCTAGCACCGCACCGCTGGGGCTTCCCCACACCAGGACTAGGCAAAATAATCGGAAGAACAGGCCAGGATCTTCCGTGCTAGCACCTCGGCTGCCAGCAAAGACACATTGGAAACAACCAGGGATTGCTGGCCAAACTGAAGGAACTATGGCAGACTTCAGAAGGGAAACCTACCTAAAGGTGCCAGCAATAGCACTAGGCAATAAGCGCTCGTAACTTCATTTCTTTCTGCTTCCCCACCTCTCTATATCCACCTACCTTCTCTAGTCTAGACCTTCAGACAGTAACCTCAAGGGCAAAGGGTCTATCTGTTTTCTGCTTGTACTGCAGTTCCTATGTGGGATGGATTCTCCTACATTGCCACAATAATAAGTACTGCTAATATTTCTGTACTGCCACAGCCACGTCGATGAAAGGATGGTGTGGACAGCAATCTGTGAAAGCTCAGATCTGAAGCAGAGGCCCACAGTAACACACAGAACAGCTTTAGAAATGCTATGTTATTTGGCAACTACAATGTTTTCTGAAGCTCTGCTTTCATGATCCTTCCTTCGCCCCATAATGAGCTCAAAGGCCCACGTGGGCAAAGGGGACTGTGTCAACAGACTCCTTGACCAGCACTGAGCTTTTTGTGAGATCAAAGACATAGCAATGAAAATAATGTAGTGACAAACTGTGAACCTAAAATATGGAAAGCTTATCCAAGCTGATAATACACCCTAGGTGACAGTCTCTGACTGGCATGTAAAGGCTGTGCAAGCTCTGAATGATGTTTTTTTCATATTTAACTCCTGTGATGTAGTTAAGTGTTATTTCCAAAGTGCTGCACAAATCTTTTGGGGCAGCTGAAGGACAAGACACTGGATGGGCATGGACAATAGCAACTACGAAGAAAAGAACAGCCCCATTTATGTTTGCAAAGCAAAGCTCAGAAATGCATGGCAAGCATAACTGATACTAGAGCCTGAATTTGCAGAGAGCCACCCCTCCCCAAATCACCTCTGAGGAGAAAATTCTCTCAGTCAGTCATTTACTCACCCATCAACCATGCCAGTGACAATATTTTAAATGTCAATACCGTATTTTACTACTCATCAAGGCATGTAGGGATGATAAAGCAATAGCATACAATGGAGCAGCGATTTCCAAAGAGGGATGTGTAGGGCAATAGCTGTATGAATAAAGATCATTTGGCTTTCAGTCAGTTCCCAAGGAAAGACTGTTGTTCATCTTGAAAGACTTTTATTTCAAAAATTTGGAAAACACTGTAATAAAGCATCAGTACAAAATGTGAAAGATTGAGGACAGATCAAGAACGCTGAAGACATTAATAAAGAAACAGTAGAGATAAATGACAGAATTACAAGTAATAGTCTAAACTCCTCACACAACATGATTATAAAACCAGATATGCTGGTCATCTGGGATTCCATATATGATCAGCAGCATGGAAAACCACAGCAGACCCATCTTTTGCAATTAACAATCTATGGATTTCCTGCAGGCTTTTTGTTTTAAAGTCAAGATTTCCTTGACCAAAAATGCAGCTATTTAAATGTTCTCAAAGAAAAAGTGATTTAAAGCTGTGAACGTTCATGTCATCAGCCTGTCAATAACTCATTGACTTGGGATACTAGTTTGGTTTGCCAAAATACATATGTACATATGTGTGCGTGTGTGGAAAAACTGCTGGGAAAAGATAAAATCATTCTCCGCTTTTCATTATCTCTGTAAAACCCAGACCCCTTCTGTAGTTTTACAAGAACGTGTCAGTCCCTGGTTGTAACTTGTAAACTGCAAGGGTCTCCTCTGTAGCCCAGTCTTCATTAGAGGTGTGAGGTCTAACCCAGTGCACAGCTGAGATGGTTGTCAAAACTCCTGCCAATTTGCCCAGGCTTTGCTTCAGGCCAAGAAAGGACAGGATTCCGAGAAATACAAACTAGAAACAGCAGGCTGAAGACCCCCAAATTCTGTGAGATCTATTTCACTCCCTAGCATTTTGAGACTGCTAAACCCAGGGGAGTGAAGGTGACTTTTTATGACTAGAACGGTATAAAGGGATCTAAATGGGTGAGGCTTAGTGTCCTAGAAGCAACCAGGATTTTCACTGAAGAGTCGGTTCACTGGCAAAGTGTCAAACACGTTAAACTGATTTTCTAGAAAAGGCCTATGGAGTAT